GTCACGTCCTCATGCAGAGCCTCGTGTCGCTCCCACTCCTCACAGGTATCGTTGTCCTGCAAAGGAGCCGGTGAAAGGTGGATGACACCAACAGCACACAGCCTCCTGCCTGTTTCCCTGACCCTCGCCTTCCCTACGAAACAGCTTTGTCGACAGAGCTCGTCTCAGCCTGCTGTTTTCAGGCACTAACACGACCGGCACTGATGACCTCATTCCCGTGACTAATGCCATCTTCAGAGTCAGCACACAGAAGTGGTGAAAAATACCACATCACACCCACTTCACAGCATGCTTTCAGCAGCATACCCAATCTGTAATGCAAAGATGCCCATTTAAGGAGCAGGTGTGTTCTACGTAAAGTCAGCACTAGCAACAAATTAATTCCACTCAAGTTGATCCCTAAAGAGATTGTGTCGGTTCCAGTGAAGCGGCCCGCTGGCACAGACATAGATCAGGCTGACAGCTTTACTGCTGCCTGCCCAGTTCTGGGCAGAGCCCTCCAAGGAAGACATTAACCAACTGAGGAACAGCCAAAAGAATGACTAGAGATCCAGGAAACAATCTGTGAGAAACAGCTAGAGAAGTCTGTTTAGTCTGGAGAAGAAAAGACTGAATAAAAAGTTTGTAAAGGATGGAACAAAGCATTCTCTGTGTCCGCTGTTGCTAAGAGAACCTACTGGGGCAAAATTGCAGCACAGATTTGGCATCTAAGTTAATTCTGGTATAGCAAAGAACGGGAATGGCTTGCCTCAGGATTGTGCTGCCTCTATAATGACAGAGGTTTGTGAGAACAGGCTAGACAGGCGTCTGTCAGGTGGAGGGAGCGAGATAGTCTCGGGAAAGCTTGTTGAGCCCAGTTTTCTAGAAGTCTTTGTCATGAAAGCCATTTTTCTCAGAATGACTAACTTCAATCACAGGGGCATTCAAGGTCAATCATTTGTACAGCTCTGCATGTCACTTCCAGCACATGAGCACGCTCCCAAATCTCTGGTCACCTCTTTTTTGAAAAAGAGCAGAGCCCGGCCAATCTGCCACACAGCAGGGCAGAGATCTGCTCCCACAGCACCAGCCCCCACCCATTTGCTCCTCTGGGCCAAGCCCTTCAGGCTCAAGCCTGACCAAACCCTTTGGGCTCAACCCCTACAACCAGCTTGATTTGGACAAGCAGTTTTGGAGGCATTAGTGTCCACACTGCTCAGGCACTGAGGGGCTCAGTGTACCAAAACACGAACAACTGTATTTTAACACCATTTTTAGACAAGTGATTTATACAATACAATTAAAAGATTAAAACTGAGCACTGAGAGAGTTATATCAGCCCTCGCAGCATCACAGTTACAATAGTTAACCTCAGACAGTGCTAGAAAAATCCACTTACATCATCTGAGTGCGATTCCTCTTTCTCCTTCTCCTGCCTCTCCTCATCTTCCTCAGCACGGGCTGGGTGAGTCACCTCAGATCTTGCTACAGGCCCCTCTTCCTCTGTGATCTCATCCCCCGTAGCAGTGTAAACACCTTCTTCTATAACTGTCTCAGTGTCCTGGTATTCAAAAGGCACATTCCCATACCTACGAGATGAGCCTGTCTTTGGAAAATCGAGCTGCAATTTCTTGATAATCCGGGGAGGCAGCCTGCAGGCCCGGATCAGCTCCAGAAAAACTTTCAGGGGGGTGCCCACATTCCCATAAGGCATGAAGGAAGGGGGGTTGAACTCAGGCAGCCGCTTCAGGTCTGCTTCTGCAACAGATTCGCCCGCGGGTGTCTTGTCCCCGCTGTTGGGAAACGCCTCTGTGCCTGCAGGAAAGAAGGAATGGTTTTGTGGGGGAACACGCAGTCCATCAGTGAGGGGCCAACTGGGGCCGTTCCGGGCAGGAGGGGGATGAACAGACCCCAAGCTGACTCTTCTTGCCTCACAATGGATTTAAGGCATGAAGGAAACTCGATGAGGTGGTTTTAACCACCCGATGCACTCAGGTTGGCTGTTGAGACCCTCAGGGGTGGGGGATCAGGTGCCCAACGGGTCCTCTGGACCCCTCCAGGCCCCGGACGGGAGGCCCGGCCCGGCTCCCCCGGTGCCCTCTCGTACCTGTTCCGGGGCTGAAGCGAACCCGGTGGATGAGGCAGCGGCCGGGCAGCGAGGCGCCGCCGGGCCCGACCCAGCGCTTGCCCGAGTACATGCGGACGAAGCGGCGGGCGCGGCCGGGCTGCACGGCCACCAAGCAGCAGCAAGTCCGCGGCGCCGCGGCCTCCCCGACGTTACCGGCCGGCGGGCGCTCGGGGCGGTGGCGGTAGTGGAAGCAGAGGAAGCCGCCGGCCTCTATGAACTGGCTGAAGTAGGCGCGGAGCTGGGCGGAGCGCAACGCGGCCGGGATGCCGCTCACCAAGCAGTAACGAGCGGCGGCGGCAGCAACGCCGCCATTACCGGCTCGACAGCTGGGCGCCGCCATCTTGCCCCACCCGGCCGGAGCGTCGCGGCGTCTTGGGCGCGCGGTGATGACGTCAGGTGACGGAGCGCATGGGGAGAGCGCCGCCTGGTGGCGGGGCTGGGAGCGCGCTGCAGGCGAGGGGGGGAGCGGGGTGGGGGTGTCACAGGTCTTGGGGGTGATGGGGGGCTGAGGGTGGCCAGGTCCTTGGTGGTGGGGGGGTGTCACAGGTCTAGGGGGTGGCCATGCCCTAATGGAGGTGACTGGTCCTGGGGGTGGCCAGATCCTTGGGGTGGGGTCATAGGCCCTGGGGGTGGCGGGGAGCTGAGGGTGTCCAGGTCCCGGGGGGGTCACAAGTCCTGGGGATGGCCAGGCCCCAATGGAGGTGACTGGTGCTGGTGGTGGCCAGGTCTTGGGGGGGGGGGGGGGGGATCATAAGCCCTGGGGGTGCCCTCACTGGCCGTGGGGGTGGTGGGGTGTCCCGGGGGGGGGTCCCAAGCCCTGGAGGTGGCTGGTCCCAGGGAGGGGTCACAGGTCCTGGGGGTGACCATGTCCTAATGGAGGTGACAGGGCCTGAGAGTGGTGGGGGGCCCCAGGAGGGGTCACAGGCCCTGGGGTGGGGTTCACAGGTCTTGGGGGTGTCATGGCACTGGGGGCCCCCCGTGCCACGCAGTGTAGCCCCGTGCAAGGGCTCCTGGCCTTGCCCTCGTGGTGAAGTCCCAGCGCGGTGTCTCCCACAACGGAGGGGTGTCCCTGTGGGGTCAGGGGTGCCCCTTGGGGACCCCACAGCGATCCCCCATCCCCAGGGGCTGGCAGGACCGGTGTCAGGCTGGAGGCTGCACCCGCGTGCCCGGTTTGGGGTAACTCCGGCAGCGGGGCCGTTGGCACCCTGTGTGCCGTCGCTCACGCGCGCGTCTCCAGGCTGCGCGGCTCGGGGCTGCCCGTGGCTGGCGTGGGCCTGTGGAAATCACCCGGTGACTCACGCGCTCCCTCCCCGTGGAAAAAAACGGCCGTCACGGGGCTGAGATCACCTCGGAAGCCGTCCGTCACCGTTCGGCAGCAGCGGCGAGAGGTGGAGGGACAGACTGACAAAGCTCTCCTTCCTCCCGCCGGGCTGCTGGCTGACATTGGAGGGGTTTCCGTGGGTGACAGGGCACAGGGAGGCTTCTGTGCGGCTTTATCCCACACCTCGGCCGGGTCGGGCACGGCAAACGGGATGGGGTTTGTGGCTGTTGGCAGCTGGCGTGCGCGTCCAGGTGAGTCAGAGCATCCAGCTCCGGCAGCCCGCGGGGCGAGGCCCAGCGCCTGGGGAAAGGCGCAAGGCGTGGACGGGCTGCGATTCCGCTGCCTGTGCGAGTTTCTGTCCCGCTGGGCTCATGGAGGGGTTTGATGCCGCGGGGCTGTTCATCAGTGATCGACGTGTGTCCACATCGCAACCCTCCCTCGCCACGGCAAGGCAGATGGATTTTTATGGAAAGCCGCTTTTCCTTCAAGCACCCTTTCTCCTCCAGTCCTGCAGCTGGTTCTTCTAACCCCCCAGAAATTTAACCCTATCTCTAAAAAGTCATCACCACTGTCCAAAACCCAAAACATTTTATTAAAAAAATAACTTACTGCATCTTATATACAAACCGCAAGAACGTTGACTTACAAAATACTGACATCTCACTTGTTGCAGAGGCTGCAGGCAGGAGGAACAATCTTTCCTACGTGTGCACCCAGCTGTAACTCCAGGGAGGGGTGTTTGGTTCTACCACTAAACCAGCTCCGCTCGTCTCCGCAGCATTCACAGCTCGGGGAATCGCTTGTTGTCACACAAACAGAGGTGAGACCACAGCCCAAAGTGATGTGCAATGGGTTTAGGAGCTCTTAGGTAACCGCTCTGCGAGCAGTCCTGTTGTATTTCATGGCAATACGGAGAAAAGATACAATCTAATAAAAAGTAAGAGGGGTGGATCTGCACACGCTGTAAGATTTAATACTCTGGCTTTTTCCCTCTTGGTGCCTTAGGAAGATATTTCATGCATATTTCTAAGATTTCAAGCACAATAGACAGGCCAAGACTTCACCAAGACCTAACTCCATGTTTGCACCTACTAAGCAATCCCCCTGAAAGTGTGTTATTCAGCGTGTCTGGACACTGCAGAATCAATTTGTTAGTTGGGGACAGACCTCATCTTTTGGAGTTAACAGCAAGAGGCACATTGATTTCAACAGGACCAAGGACTCATTGAGGAAAAACCAGGACTGGGCTCTAACCTGACCGGCTCCAGGCTCTGTTCGCAGGTGGCTGAGCTGCTCCGGCTGTGAACAGGGAGAGAAACCCCTCGCCCAAACACGCGCTCCCTGAGCCGGAGACGGCACAGGCGGAGCAGGAGCTGCTGTAAACATCTGCTGAACCGGAGCCTTTTCCCTGTGCGCCGCTTGGCTCACTCCTCCGGCCTCAGCCCTACCGAAACGCGCAGTTCCCCGTAGAATCCGGAGCGCTTCTCTTGCTAAATCCCCGCTCCCAGAATCACTTTGCTGCCCAGTGAGCCGTGGGGAGCATGCTCGGGGCTGGCGGCCGAGTGTGGCCGCTCAGCACGCCATGCGTGCGGCGGGAGCCAGCTGCCCTACGGTTATTTCGTACAACATTTCTGCGATGAGCTCGACAATGTCCGCGTTGCCGATGACGGGTCGGAAGAAGAGATCCGTGATGAGGGCGGGAGGGATCGATTTCAAGGTAGAGGCGATCAGCAAAATGCGGGCAAAGCGGCCCTGGTCCTCGGGGTGCAGGGGCTGCAGGACCTCTTGAAGCGCTCTCTGGGCTTCCCGCTGGAGGCTCTCTATGTACAGGGAGGCCCTCAGCCCAGGGACGTCTGCCGAGGGAGAGGAGGAAAAGCTGGTGATGAGGGAGGCTGGAGAACAGCCCCAGGTTTCTCCCATTGCCACCCGTTCCCTTCCTCATTTCTCAGAAGGGATCTCTAAGGCCACGCTACCAAGATTAACACAGCACTACTGAGATGAAGCTATTCCAGAGCTGCTGTTTGAAGGAGGAAAAATAGCGAACTGGGCAAGCTCATGCTTTACAAAGTAAATCCCATGGTCTTTTATTGCCTGCAGGGCAGGCAAAGGTCTCTGGATTTTACATTCGACATCCCTCCTCCCCATTTCCCGGTGCATTTGGTAACAATGGGAGTTAAGGGTAAGGTAACCAGCCCTCTCCGCTCTCGCGCCTGCCTGTGCTCCCAATGTCTCTGAGCCAAGAGGCGTGTGTTCAGCCGCGAACGCGTGCGGGGTGCGCTCTCCCACCGGCAAGCAAAGCCACAAGGGCCAGGCACTCACCAGGATTGAAGAGGATGGCTCCCTTCAGGTAGGCGTATTCCTTGGGGCTCAGGTCCAGGCTCCAGAAGGTGTTGAGGCAGCACTGCAGGCGCTGCACGGCGGCCAGCGTGGGCTGCGTCCGCTCAGGCTCCTGCCTTTTGCTTTGGCCATTGAGGAGGATCTTCTTGAGCATGCTGGGGGCTGGGGTCTCCATCACCTCGAAGGTCACCATCTCCTGGACCAGTCCCAGGAGGAAGAGGGGGACCCAGCAGCTGTCCAGCAGCAGGAGCTGATCCTCTCGTGGCAGCAGGTGGAAGGATGGGAGGTTTTTCATAAAGCTGATGGTTTTTACCAGGACGTTGGAGGCCGCCTGGCAGGTGACGTGGGGCGTGCGGAGGCAGACGGTCCGGCGCTGGTGGCAGAGGCAGCGCTGGTGATCTGGGCCCCGGCCGCCCCGGCTGTGGGTGAGGTTCTGGCTGAGGAGGGTGTAGAGGATGGCGGTGCGCTTGTCTTCGCTGTGGCACCCGCACCTCTCACAGCCCACGTCCATGCTGCTGGTGGACATAGCTGAGCTGGGTGGATGGATCCTTAGCGCAACTCGGCTCCTGCTACAGCAGGCGGGAGAGAGATGTAAAATCCCTCCCAAACCCTCTGTCACAGGCTGGATTCTCCCCGTCCTCCTGGCTCAAACTGGCTCTTATAAGGCTGGGTCACCAGTGAAACACCCCTCCACAGCCTTGACCGCTCTGTGATTAAGCAGTCCTCATTAAAAAAAAAAAAAAAAACGAGCCAAACTAAAACCCCAGCCGTCCCTGGGCTGATTGGCTGGGGCACACAGGTTCGCGGCACGGAGTCAACGGCCGTTTTCTCAATGAAGCGCCAGTGGCGCGGGGAGGGGGCTGGTGGGTTGGGCGGCCTTATCACGATTACCCAAAGAGTCTAAACAAAGTCATTAACCCAGCCTGTACCATGGCACCAAGGCCCGTCGCTGCCGGGAGGTTCACACCCACACACAGGGCAACTCGTCTGGGCCCTCTGCTCGGCGGCCTGTGCACCCCGGCCTTGGGAAGAGCAACCTGGAAGTCGTTTTATCAGCGGCTGTTTGCCTAACCTTGCTGACAGGAGATTCGTGTTGTTACAGTCGAGGAAGAGAAGCCCGGTCAGACCATAGCGTTCAAGCCCAGGCTGTGCCCATCAATTCATGGGAAATGCAAAGCAGGGGAAGGGCAAATTCTTTCACGTTTTCACCTTGAATCACCAGGTCTTTTTGTATCCATTGAACAACACATAAATTTGAGACAGGGATTGAGGAGCTTCTAACTGCTGATTATCCAGGGGGCTGGTGGCAGGGTAAGGGATTCCCGCGATGGCCCCCGCTGTGCCCCAGAGGTCTCTTAGCTGGAAGGGAAGGCGGGATCCAGGCCTTGCCCTGCCGAGGGGGGACACAGGCCGGGGAGGGGGGAATAGGGGACGGCTGACAGAGCCGGGCGGGGGGACCGTGGCCCAGCGCCCCGCCAACGGTGGCCGGGGCTTCCCGGGCCCGCAGCCCCCGGAAGGGCAGAGCAAGGCCCAGCCGAGACATGGAGCAGCGCCCGAGGCCCCCCAGACGGCCCCTCTTTCCCCCCCCGACCCCCCGGTACCCCCGGAATTCGTCACTTTGACCCCCGACACCCCCCCCCCCCCGGGGTCACAGGCCCCGCCGAGCGTTCTGGAAAGGCGCGGCGAGGCCGTCGCTATAGCAACCGCGCGCCCGCGGAGATGTCCCGCCTCCCTCCGGCGGCGACCAATCAGCGAGGAGAGCGGCGCGGGGCGGGCGCTGGGATTGGCGGGTGGCGGAAGAGGAAGAGGAGGAGGAGCGCTTCCGTTCACGCCGCTTCCTCTTCCGTTTCGCCGGCGTGCGGGGGGCGGCCGGGGCGGCGGGCAGGATGGGGCTGAGCGCGGAGGAGGCGGCGGAGCAGGAGGATCGTTTTGACGGCATGCTCCTCGCCATGGCCCAGCAGCACCAGGGCGGCGTGCGCGAGGTAGCGCCGCCGGGCCCGCGGTGGAGGGTTTTTTTCGTTTTGTTTTGGTTTGGTTTTTTTGTTTTTTTTTTTTATTCCCGTCGAGGCGGGCGGGGGGGGAAGGCGGGGCAGGGCCGGGAGGAGCGAGCGGAGATTTTTGGGGGGGGGGGGGGGTGGTCCCGGCCCTCCCCGGATCCCGGAGGTTCATGTGTGGCACGTGTCCTCCCCCCGCGCCATCTCTGAGAGCGGCGGTAACCGCGCAGGCCCGCGAGGACGCGCTGATAATTAATCGCATTAATTAAGCGCGATGCTAAGGACCCCTGGGGGGGTCTCAGCAAAGCAAAACCCCCGCAGGGGGAGGATCGGGCCCTTTCCCCAGCACCACCGCCCCGGGAGGGACCCCCTGGGACCTGCTGGGTTTTGATTTTGCCACGAAGTGCGCTTGAACATGCGTGTGGTTCCCCTCCTCGTGGCTCTGCTGGGGGCTCTGGGGTTTCAACCTCTGATTGAAATACCGACAGGGCAGGATTCCTGGGAAATAAAGCCAAGTGCTGCGAGTATGGAATTCCATAGGGGTGTTTGGGCATGCCAGTTCATAACTACCAATTCATTGGAGATATCTGGCAGGCAGTTTGTGTTTATTTTGTAAAAATAAACAGAACGTTGCATGCTTTGAGGGTTTAGGCATGCAATGAAGCAAAATATGGTATAAGTGTATATATGTGCATAGCCACTCAAATTCCTGCCTCAGGTAACGGTTTGGAGTATTGGAGTAGCTGTACCTCCAAGGTGACCTGAGAATAAACTGCTTGCCCTTTCTTCATGTAAACCACACAAATGCCTTTTCTGAAAACTGGGAGTCCAGGAGCTGGATCTCCACAGAAGCCACTGAATGTTTTCTCTGGGAAATGGTCACGGGGCTGATTTCAGTACGATCCTGGAACAGACACAGCTAGGGAGAACAGACAATAAAGGCTGCTCAAGGGATAAGAAGTGGCTGGGGGTGATCTGGTCTCATGGCTCTTTTTTTCTCTCCACCCTTTCTCCCACCCTCCTCCCTGTTTCTTCCACCAGCTTGTGAACACATTCTTCAGTTTCCTGAGGCGTAAAACAGATTTCTTCACCGGTGGAGAAGATGGGGTAGCAGAGAAGGTAAAAAACCAAATCCTCAAGCTTTTATGTCTTTTCACTTACCTGCCACCCATGTCTGTGCCATGCTAAGACTTCCCAGCCTAAACAACTCCAAGGATTATGGTGCACTTGGGCAACCAGCAGCCCGTGATGCTGGTGAAATACATCACTGAAGCAAGGTAATAAGGAGTTGCCCCTATCTGAGGTGAGGCACGCATGATTACTCATTTGGATGGTACTGACGGTGCGGGGTTTTTTTTGCCACGCTCTGGCCAAAGGCTTGTTTGGAAAGCAAATCTGCCAGACGCACTGACTTAACGGTGACAGACACTGCAGTGTTGATAACCCCAGGTTACCTTGTTTGTTCATCTCAGAAAAAAGCCCAAAGTCCACGTCTCTGCACATGGGGCTGCACCTTTGTCTCGGGGCTGCGGTGCTTGTACGGAGCGAGCGTGCTGGGGAGCAAACCTGGGGGTCTGGGTGGTCTCACTGGCACCAGCAGGTATTCCTCACTCCGGAGCTGAAAAACAAAACTGATTCACTGTAGGGAAATAAGAAGCAGAGCATTTAAACATGAACTGGCCAGACTTTCTGAAGATTTCTTGCTTGTACTTACCAGTATAGCACCTGTTTCCCTTCCTGCACTACTGGAACTCCACCAGCAAAGCAGCACTGCTGCCTTGTTGAATGCCTTAGGGCAGATGTTAATGGCTTACACTGTGCAACATCATCTTTAAAGTGGCAAAACCAAGGCAGGTGAGGGATGGGAAAGAGGATGGTTTCAAAGTAAGAGAGATGAAGCCTGCTGTCATTTCTCTTAGACTAGAGAGCAAATCTCCCCAAATTTCTGGGGACTGTGCATTCCCAGGGAGTGAAACCCTGAGTAGCATTTCAGAGATGAGCACTGTCTGGTGCTTTTGGAGCTCCTGGCTGCTGTCATTGGCAATTCCATACCAAATCCGTGTCTGTGCCTGTAAAGTGTTTGTGTTCTTGGGTGGTACCTGTTAAAATGCTTTATGGTCTTTGGAAAAAGTGCTCAATACAGAGTCTGACACCATAGTAACCACAACAGAAATTGAAGAAGCTGCTTCCCCAGTCCTGCTCGCCCTTTGGCATGAAAGAGAATGAGGAGAGGGTGGGAGAGTCGTTGTCTTTTATGGGGTGCCATTTCAGAAGCCGTTGTGGTGTGGAGGGAGGGGGGTGTGGTGGTACGTTGAGAAGTGCAGGTTGAGAGAAGTGCAGCGTGTGCACACTGACAGGCTCGGGCAGCGTAAGTAGTTTGTTCACCCTGGATCATCGTGTGGTTAGGAACAGAGGCCGGGAGATGCACGTCTTGAATTCTGTATCCTAGGAGACACTGGCCTCACATTGCATAAATAAATCCTGCTTTCCCCTTTAAAACAAAGCAGAAATACTTGGTGGTTGGTTACAAAACTACAAGGCGTGGATGCCATGAGTTTCTCTGGAAATGTGCTGAATCCCCCTAGAAGTTTCTGGGATATATTGTACCAGTATTAACCGGTACCTGAAACCTCTGTCTGAGAAATCTCTCCACTCTTGATTCCTTTTCTCAGGTTCTGTCTTATACTGTTTTCTGGAGCAGACTTCAGTTCTCATACATGCTGCTTTACACAGTGCTGGTGGCGTTATCGACCAGGGGGCAATTGCTCTGGCTGCCTGCCTGTGTACTCAGCTTTCCCTCCGAGCAGTACAGCCGTTTGCATCAGAGACCTTCAGATTTTGCTTTTCATAGTCACAACAACATGAGAATTTGGAGTGAGGTTTGAAGCAAAGATTTATGGAGGAGCTTGTCCCTAAGTGTAAAACACCCAGCTTTTCAAATGTTTCTCTTCTAACTCATGACACTGAGTCTTCATCTAGCGCCTGGGGAAAAGCCCAGTCGTGGGAAAGGTCAGAAGTAGATTAAAAATACTTGGATCCAGTGTCTCCATTCTTCAGTCTGTCTTAGATGCATGGGGTAGCTGTCAAATGACTGGGTTAGGCATCTGCTCGTCCTGCTAGAATTGCACAAAAGCCAAAACATGGAGAATTTTTATTTCTTTGTTATCTCCATGCAAATACATTCCCTGTGTAAGGAAGAGCTTTAAATATTTTTGAGTTTTCTCCTATTCTAGAATTTCAGTCAAAAGACTAGAGTGAGAACGAAGGGAAAAGTCACATCTGTATGATTAAAAAACGTTCCTGTGCTCCTCAGTAGAATCTGAGCTGGCCTCACTTGGGTATGAAAAAGTGATTTTTAAAAACCCTTCGATACGTATTCCTGTCTTTCAGCTGATCACAGATACCTTCAACCATCACAACAAACTAGCTCAGAAGGAGAGGAAAGAGAAAAAGGCTCGTCAAGAGGCAGAGCGGCGTGAAAAGGCAGAGAGAGCTGCAAAACTTGCTAAAGAAAAACAAGAACCAAACGAGCCAAGGATTAAGGAACTCACAGATGAGGAAGCAGAAAGGCTGCAGCTGGAGATCGACCAGGTGAGAGCGATGTCTGGTGCCTGCAGGTACCATCTAGGTCATCTCTGCTGGCCTGTGTGTAGCTCAGGTAGCAGCGAGTGGTGAAAATGGCTCAGACCGGTCCCTTTGCGGTGTCTGGACCACCAGACTGACGCAGGTGGTGCGCTTTGAAATGAACTTAGCCTAGGCTCAACCATTACTTTTT